CTGTAGACGGGCGTTTGATCGTCACCAATATACCAGAGTGTGAGGATTGGCGAATCGTTGGGTGGGGAGTGGATGGTGCAGGGAAGGGATGCGTCGTAGCCTGCTACAGCCTCCACCACAGTCGTATCTCCCTCTGCCTCTGTCGGGGGGAAGGAAATATATACTTTGATACAAAAAAAAAATACAATATTCACTATATGCGAACAAGCCTGAATGGTCCCCAGGACTATATGCAACTGAAAACTCACACCCCCAGAAGTGACTCTATTCACTATATGTATATTCACTATACATATTCACTATTATATATAATTTCGCCGTGACCAGTTATACAAAAACGTAGAATATTTATGTAAGCCGGTTTTCCTCTCGGGAATGGTAATCTTATTACAAGGAACACAGAAAGTTTTAATAAATATTGTGTTATTTCTGCGATGTTTGGGGTAAACATCCTCTGTTATCTGGGCTAAAACAATAGAAATTTAACATCGTATGGAAATTTAACATCGTGTTTAGCTGGTAGACGCGTGTAAATGTTCTCAGTTTTAAAGTTAGAATGCCAAATTGATTACTGTCAAACAGAAAATGTTTATATTACAGAAAATCATACCACGTCCAGGCTAAGATAAAGTTGCTTTATCAGAAGTATAATTACAGTATTTAATCAGGTAAACCCAACTATACACACATAGATATACACGAAAAGGTATACCGAGCTTCGTAGTGTGAATATACACTAAGAGTTTAATAGGTTCTTGGTTCAAATGTTATTCTGGTACTGTAATCCCCCGTCAGAGGGCAGCCCGTCATCCTAATAGAACGTCGCGTTTTGACGTATACTCCACCTAAGGGCACAAAAAAAAATTACTCGAAAATGGTAGCGAAAGTGACGTACTGTCTCGTTTTTTGTTTTGGGTCCTTTGGTAGGTTAGGATCAGGGCACTTGAGTACGAGAGTTTCCTGGCACTGGGAACCTTAAGATGACGGGCTGGCAGAGAATAACAAGCCTTAAGGCTACCACAAGGATAAATCACTCATAACACAAGCATAAATATATTCATCTGGCGGTGAATGCTATTCCTATTAGAATATCTTCTGATCGCTTACTTTATTCTTGGACTGTGTTCAGAGCTAAAGTATACGTGAAGTATACGTGAAGTATAACCCCTCCAGGTTTTAACAAGCCTTATGTCCATCTTCAAAACCATTCAATAAAGGACATCTCAGGATATATACATCGACACGGGCAATACGGTTCTCGGTCTATATACACTAAGACAATATTGTCGTCCAGAGCTGTGTTCGAGACTAAAGATTACGTGCTGGTTGGTCAGTAAGCTCTTTTTGTAATCTTAATTACTCTTAAGAAGGCCTTGTGATGTTCAAAACGATTTTAGTCTGGCTAAAATACACACATAATGTCCCCGGCATCGCTTGCGCTAACAGCTACATGCAGGGGCGAACAAGTTATTCAACTGAAGCCTCATTCATCACATAAACAATGAATACTTGATGACGAAGTCTAACCTTCATGATTCAGAAATCAGTATTCGAAGTCTTTTTGATAAAAATAAGAGTAGGCTGAGAGAGAGAATGATAACAGGCTGCATAATGGAAAAGTTGCCTCAGGAGCGATCCACTGCGGTAACACCTCCCCAAATATTCATGGAATTGGTGCTTGAAATTCCGTGGAGTTCTCCCACGCATCTAGCATCGTAACTAGTGCATTACAACAACCACACAAACCACAATCTAAATTCACATGGCGGGATATTCACATTCTTTAGAAAGGCACCAATGGTAAGAGCCTTTGTGAACACAAATGTTTGTTTGTTTTGGGGAGAAATCAGCTCATTAATTCGAAACTCCAAAAAGTTTAAACCATACCTGAATATCTTTAGATACAACATAAATAATATGAGAATATAAAAGCATATTACAGAGTAATTGACTCAGAATCTTGACGATAACTTTATTTAGAATTAAAAGAAAAAGATGCAAATCCTTAATACCATAATCTTTATGAGTTTATAAAAGTTAGTCAGATAACTTAAACTGAGCCGAGTAAGAATGGGGATCACTATATATAGTGGTATTTATGCAAATATTTCAGTCATTTGGATCATCGGAGCCTTTAACTGCATACCACAAAAGTGAACGAAATGTTATTGCCTACGATATTGTGGTTGGTAATTTATATGACTAGAACATGGCTCACAGAGCTACTCAGTGCTCAAGTGACACCCCAGGGTAGGCCTAACGTCTAGATTGGACACACGCACACACACACACACACATATATATATATATATATATATATATATATATATATATATATATATATATATATATATATATATATATATATATATATATATATATATATATATTGGCTATTGAGCAACTGTCCTCAGGCGAGGCTCGTTAGAGCAGCGTCCGTCCCAAAGATGCATTCATAAATATTAACGTACTGGGTATTAAAAGTAGGTTTGCTCTCGTGTATATATTTATATTATTATACATACAAATTCTATGTATAGTTACGCTATAGTTAAACACTTAGGATAGGTGTTTAGGTTCTGTTGGAGATTATTTGGATTTGTAGTACGTGGGTGAAGCATTTACAGCCAATCCGTCGTCGCCTTAAGTCCATTCCATCCAGCGGTTGACCCCACAGACGCACTCATAAATTTTTACATGATGTTCATTCAAAACGGGAATTTTCTCAAATATAAATTAATATTATAATATATTAGCATATTGTGCATATAAAGGCATAGGTTAGGTTAGGTTAGGTGTTAAGGTTCGATTATTTGTATTTGTAGTACGTGAGTGAAGCATTTACAGCGTTGTGGTTCGAACAAAATTCGTCAGTGAAGCATTTGTTCCGGAAGTGTTCGAGCGTCATCAGTTGTGAACAAACCGTTTATCATTTATAAACCAGGGGATTTGGCGGCTGGATTTAGCTTCTTTTTTTAGAACATTTAGCTTCTTTTTTTTAGAACATTTAGCTTCTGTTGGTGAGGACGCGCTGCTGTTGAGACAGCTTCCTAGATACTCAGTTCTAAGCTTGACGAACTGGAAAACAGAACAGTGTAATCCCACTAAGTAATCTCAAATAGCAGAGGATACAACTTGATAAGGAGCCAACCACTGCGGTAAGAATTACCTATATGTTCACAAATGCTGTTTTTAAAGTTTCGTGAGGTATTTCCCATGTCTCGAACATTGCCATTCGAACATTTAACAAGATAGACAACAGCAGATCTGAGGTGAAAGGGTAAAGGATCATTATGTTTTAATAGTTGTCAATAGTGTAGCTGTAGGAAGCGAGTAGTAGATGGTGATTTCGTTCATAGCTTCATAGGTAAGATGTGACTAACTGAATGGTATGTGAACCTGTACGCTACCTGAATGGTATGTGAACCTGTACGCTACCTGAATGGTATGTGAACCTGTACGCTACCTGAATGGTACGTGAACCTGTACGCTACCTGAATGGTATGTGAACCTGTACGCTACCTGAATGGTATGTGAACCTGTACGCTACCTGAATGGTACGTGAACCTGTACGTTACCTGAATGGTATGTGAACCTGTACGTTACCTGAATGGTATGTGAACCTGTACGCTACCTGAATGGTATGTGAACCTGTACGCTACCTGAATGGTATGTGAACCTGTACGTTACCTGAATGGTATGTGAACCTGTACGTTACCTGAATGGTACGTGAACCTGTACGCTACCTGAATGGTACGTGAACCTGTACGCTACCTGAATGGTATGTGAACCTGTACGCTACCTGAATGGTATGTGAACCTGTACGCTACCTGAATGGTATGTGAACCTGTACGCTACCTAAATGGTACGTGAACCTGTACGCTACTTCAATGGTACGTGAACCTGTACGCTACCTGAATGGTACGTGAACCTGTACGCTACCTGAATGGTACATGAACCTGTACGCTACCTGAATGGTACTGAATGGTACGTGAACCTGTACGCTACCTGAATGGTACGTGAACCTGTACGCTACCTGAATGGTACGTGAACCTGTACGCTACCTGAATGGTACATGAACCTGTACGCTACCTGAATGGTACATGAACCTGTACGCTACTTCAATGGTACGTGAACCTGTACGCTACCTGAATGGTACGTGAACCTGTACGCTACCTGAATGGTACATTAACCTGTACGCTACCTGAATGAATCTTCAGTGGGATTCGAATGTTTACGTGCACTTCACGTGAGCACATCTTGAGAGGAATAACTAGGTGAGTACCCACACGTACCCACACGTGCCCACACGTGCCCACACGTACCCACATCCCCATATATTCAAACACACTGACAAACAATTACACATGTGTTATAACACATAAAGATGCAAACAAAAAACATGACCCACACTAACCCTTCTCTTTCCACAACAGCAATCTGAAAAAATAAATATGGATAACGAAAAAACAATAAACAAGAGGAAACAACCAACTCTCGTTGTTGTAATAACAAAGTGTTTTCTCTACAAACCTGACTCTTAACTGAAGTTTTTTCATTATCTTGGAACATCCTGTCTGAGTCAAGCGAGTATATATGATAAGGGTTTAAAAAAGGCTCAATTATTATTTACTCTGGCAGAGTTGAATAATGTTTCCAATTCTCTCTCTGTCTCTGTCTCTCTCTCTCTCTGTCTCTGTCTCTCTCTGTCTCTGTCTCTGTCTCTGTCTCTGTCTCTCTCTCTCTCTCTCTCTCTCTCTCTCTCTCTCTCTCTCTCTCTCTCTCTCTCTCTCTCTCTCTCTCTCTCTCTCTCTCTCTCTCTCTCTCTCTCTCTCTCTCTCTCTCTCTCTCTTCTCTCTCTCTCTCTCTGTCTCTCTCTCTGTCTCTGTCTCTCTCTCTCTCTGTCTCTCTCTCTCTCTGTCTCTCTCTCTCTCTGTCTCTCTCTCTCTCTCTCTCTCTCTCTCTCTGTCTCTGTCTCTCTCTCTCTCTCTCTCTCTCTCTCTCTCTCTCTCTCTCTCTCTCTCTCTCTCTCTCTCTCTCTCTCTCTCTCTCTCTCTCGGGCTCAATCAGTCTCGGTGTAATGTGTGGGTGGTCGCTTGTGAAAGGCGCTTAATAGTGTGAAATACTTAAAAATTAATA